CGACACGTGCGAGTACTGCGGCAAGGTGTTCAAGAACTGCAGCAACCTGACGGTGCACCGGCGGAGCCACACCGGCGAGCGGCCTTACAAGTGCGAGCTGTGCAACTACGCGTGTGCGCAGAGCAGCAAGCTCACGCGCCACATGAAGACGCACGGGCAGATCGGCAAGGAGGTGTACCGCTGCGACATCTGCCAGATGCCCTTCAGCGTCTACAGCACCCTGGAGAAACACATGAAAAAGTGGCACGGCGAGCACTTGCTGACTAACGACGTCAAAATCGAGCAGGCCGAGAGGAGCTAAGCGCGCGGGCCCGGTGCCCGCACCTGTACAGTGGAACCGTTGCCTGCGACAGAATGCTGACCTGACTTGCCTCCGTGTCACCGCCGCTTAGCACCCCGCGTGTCCCCCCGGGGCCCAGGGAGGCGGCACTCCAACCTAACCTGTGTCTGCGAAGTCCTATGGAAACCCGAGGGTTGATTAAGGCAGTAAAAATTGTGGAGCCTTTTAACTGTGCAATAATTTCTGTATTTATTGGGTTTTGTAATGTTTTTGGCATGTGCAGGTACTTTTTATTATTATTCTTTCTGTTTAAATTCCTTTAAAAGATTTCGTTGGGTATCCATCCCTTCATTTTTTTTTTTAAACCCAGTAGTAGCCTGAGCAATGACTCGCAAATAATGTAGAGAGGGAAGCATATCTTTTAAATTATAATTTGGGGAGGGGGGTGCTGCTTTTTTGAAATTTAAGCTAAGCATGTGTAATTTCTTGTGAAGAAGCCAACACTTAAGTAACTTCTAAAGTTGTTTACTTTTTTTATACCTTCCTTTTTTTTTTTTTTTGGTCCTGAAATAAAAAGTGGCATGCGTTTTCTTAATTTAATTTAATTTTTTTTGGGGGGGGGTTGTGGATGTATAGCGGATAACAATCTTAAAGTTGTAGCACTTTGTTTCACAATTGGAATGGAAATGTAGCACTGATGATGTCTGGAGTGACAGAGGCCTTTTCTGTGTTGATTTCAACTTTCACATTATATAAGGAAAACGTTTAGTGGTGATGGGTGAGAGGCACCCCACAAACTCAGCACCACCAGGGGAACGGTTTTTGAGGGCCACTCTGGGAAATGGCCCCCAAACTTTCTGAAGTTGTGCATTACCAGCAGATCCTATGCTGTGCTTGGCATGCTGGTGTGCCCTGGGATGCCATCTCTGCCATTTGCTATAGGTTAGGCTAAATAAAATGGGCTGAGGGTACTTTTTTGGGTAGATGATGGTGGCCTGCCGTGACACAGAAAGAGAGAGACCAGTGGTATTCTTTCCGGCTTCTTCTGGCTTGACAGCTTCTCTTTTTATCACCCCCACTACATGAATCCCAAGTTGTGTGTTGCTACAAGTGGTAATTGATCATTTCTCAAGGAGACAAATACCCTGATGGTGAATCGAAGAAGTCAGTGTTCTCTCATTTAATGCACACTGATGACATTGTAGGGATGGGGGAAAATCTTGCAAATTTCTGTTCCCTTTTACCGGAGAAGCAGGGGAAGAGTTCCATCTGAAGGTGCCCAGCGCTACTTCCCATTTTTTTTTTCTATCTCATTAGGTTGGAAGGTACTAAACGTTGGACTGTTGAGATTAGACATTTGAATTCTGTTGACCCGCACTTTAAAGCTTTTGTTTGCATTTAAATTAAATGGCTTCTAAACAAGAAATTGCAACATATTCTTCTCTTTGGCCCAGAGGTGGGTTAGACTGTAAGGGACAGCTGAGATTGAGTGTCGGTGTTGCTAAGCGTGGCATTCACAATACTGGCACTATAAAGAACAAAATAAAATAATAATTTATTGGACAGTTTTTCTGCTGCCATTCAATTTGATGTGAGTGCCTTGAAAACTGATCTTCCTATTTGAGTCTCTTGAGACAAATGCAAAACTTTCTTTTTTTTGGAAATGAGAAGACTTTTTAAAAAAGTAAAACAAGAAAAGTACATTCTTTAGAAATAAAGCCACATTTACTTTAAGTAAAAAAAAAAAAAAAAATCCTGGTTGAAGATAGAGGACATGACAATGCCATAAGATCCAATCAAATGAAGAAATAAACCCAGCACAAGCTTGGATGTCCATTAGCTGAATTATCCTCAGCCCCTTTTGTTTCTGGGACAACGCTGCTTAGGTATGGAGTGGAGGTGATTTACTGCTGAATTAAAACTCAAGTGACACAAGTTATAAGTCGATATTGTTGAATGAAAACAAAACGAAAACAATTCAGGAACAACGGCTAATTTTTTAAATCCTGGTTGAAGATAGAGGACATGACAATGCCATAAGACCCAATCAAATGAAGAAATAAACCCAGCACAAGCTTGGACGTCCATTAGCTGAATTATCCTCAGCCCCTTTTGTTTCTGGGACAACGCTGCTTAGGTATGGAGTGGAGGTGATTTACTGCTGAATTAAAACTCAAGTGACACAAGTTATAAGTCGATATTGTTGAATGAAAACAAAACGAAAACAATTCAGGAACAACGGCTAATTTTTTTCTAAAGTTAAATTTAGTGCACTCTGTCTTAAAAATACGTTTACAGTATTGGGTACATACAAGGGTAAAAAATAAATTGTGTGTATGTGTGTTGGAGCGATCTTTTTTTCAAAGTTTGCTTAATAGGTTATACAAAAATGCCACAGTGGCCACGTGTATATTGTTTTCTTTTGGTGACGGGGTTTTAGTATATATTATATATATTAAAATTTCTTGATTACTGTAAAAGTGGACCAGTATTTGTAATAATCAAGAATGCCTGGGCATTTTACAAAACAAGAAAAAAAAAAAAAAAACCCTTTTCTTTTCCTTGAAAATGTTGCAGTAAAACTTAAATGGTGGGTCTATAAATTTGTTCTTGTCACAGTAACTGTAAAGTCGGAGTTTTAGTAAATTTTTTTCTGCCTTGGGTGTTGCATTTTTATTTCAAAAAAAATGTATAGAAACTTGTATTTGGGGATTAAAAGGGGATTGCTACACCATGTAGAAAAAGTATGTAGAAAAAAAGTGCTTAATATTGTTATTGCTTTGCAGAAAAAAAAAAAAATCACATTTCTGACCTGTACTTATTTTTCTCTTCCCACCTCCCTCTGGAATGGATATATTGGTTGGTTCATATGATGTAGGCACTTGCTGTATTTTTACTGGAGCTTGTAATTTTTTAAATGTAAGCTTGTCCTTTTAAAGGGATTTAATGTACCTTTTTGTTAGTGAATTTGGAAATAAAAAGAAAAAAAAAAACAACAAAAAACAAACAGGCTGCCATAATATATTTTTTTAATTTGGCAGGATAAAATATTGCAAAAAAAAAAAATTTGTATGTGAAGTCCTATTGTACAGGAGAGAAAGGGTTGTTTGACGACCTTTGAGAAAAAGAAACAAAGGAGGTAGCTAAATGCTTTGGTTCACAAATCATTTTAGTTGTATATATTTTTGTCGGAATTGGCCTACACAAAGAACTGTTCGAGATGGGCTTCCCCCTGAATGCCCCGAACCTTGCATCAAGGCTCCTTGGTGTGGCCACAGCAGACTGGATGGGAAATTCTTTATTTGTGTTGAATGGGAAAAAAATCCATGTTTGTAAAGATGTCAGTTACATTCCACAGAGTCCTCCCTTTCTCTAGGAGGCCATCTGTCAGATGTCACGTGTGGAGGAGAGATTGGAGAGACCACCTTCCTTCCGTACCATCACTATTGTGGCGGTCCCCACCACCACCACCACCTCTCCCGCCCTTAAAAGCAGAAAGAAATGTCAACCGAGCTTCCTTAGTCCTTGAGAAAACATGACACACACACAGACAGAAAGGTAACGAAAGGAGCTGGAGTGTCAGCCAGGGGCAGGCGAAGGGACCAGCTGTTGGGACCAGTGCAACCTGGACTTCAGGACGAGAACCCGTCACAGCCAGGGCCTTTCCTTCCATGGAGAGTGTTGGCTTCTAATCTTTCTTACCTGCTTTGCTGCTTTTTTCTCCGAAACCTACATTCCGTCAGTTTCTGAATGCCAAGGGCCTGGGATGAATTCGGTGCCTTTCCGTGTCTCTTTCTCTCCTTCCTCTGCCGTTTCCTCTCCATCCTCCATCCTCTGTCAGTCCTTTTCGTTTTTTCATTTTTATTTCATTTCTTTTCTTTCTCCCTCTCTGTCCCTTTGCTCCCTCCTTTTTTTTTTTTTTTTTTTTTTTTTTTTTTTTTTATAAAGCCAAGTAGCTTTAAAGACAATAAAGTGGTGGTTTTTGGATGAGGGAATAATACATTAAAAAAAAAAAACCTATATCAGGAAGCCATTTTTTTATTTCAGGAAATGTAAGAAACCATTATTTCAGGTTATGAAAGTATAACCAAGCATCCTTTTGGGCAATTCTTTACTAAGTGCAGAAATCTTTCTTCTGGGAGATTTTCTGTAGGATGCGCTCTTTCCTCTTGCCACTTACCTTTGCAAAGTTAAAAGAAAAGGGGAGGGAATGGGAGGAGAGAAGCTGAGATTTCAGTTTCCTGCCTACTTGACCCTAAGACCCAGAGGCTGCTCTTTTGTTTGGATGCCCCGTTAAGGGACTCGAGAGCTCCCCATGGTGGCACCCCTGTAGTCACAAAAGCTAGCCAGTGCTCACCAGCTTCTACAGAGTCACCAGAATGCCAGGACCAAGCCATGCTAAAGCACAAGATTGTGTCTCTGTTGACCGCAGACAAAAGAGACCTTTGCTTCTCTTTTGGGTTTAAAAAACCAACGCTGAAGCCGATGTCCCAGTGAGAGAGGCCTCTAGCATGGGTGACCCAGCCGACCTCAGGCCGGTTTCCACACTGCCACGACTTTGGCCAAAGTTGCCCCAAATTGGAACCTGCCACTTGCCATTAGAGGGTCTTTCATGGCAAGAGGAGGAGACTGAATGACTCAAAGCAAAATGTGAAAAGTAAGGAAATCTGCCTTTCATCCCGGTCCTAAGTCACTGTCAGCCGAAGGTTTTGTTGAACACAGGCAAACCCGTGATTTTGGTGCTCTCTGTGTCGCCCTGCAAAGCAAAGTTACATTGACTTAAGTCGTTTGCATTTGTACTGGCAAGGTGAAATATTTTTATTACCTTTTCTATTACTTATTGTATGAGCTTTTGTTGTTTACTTGGAGGTTTTTGTCTTTTACTACAAGTTTGGAACTATTTATTATTGCTTGGTATTTGTGCTCTGTTTAAGAAACGGGCACTTTTTTTTTATTATGGATAAAATGTTGAGATGACAAGAGGTCATTTCAATATGGCTTAGTAAAATATTTATTGTTCC